TTACGTCTCCACCCTTTATTCCCACAGCTACCCCCCCTTCTCCTCCTGACCTCCAGACCTCCTCCTCCTGAAACATCTCTCCACTTCTCCATCACTACCAACCCCCCTCCCCCGAGTTCTAGAAATCAAACCCACCCTCCAATGACATCATCATCGTTTCTGTTGGTACTCACCCTCCACTCCGTCAGGCGGTCCTCCCCATGTCCACCGTTTAGGCCTGTTATCCAGGTGCTCCCGGGCTTCTCCTCCTCCACCTCCTCCTCCTCGTCTTTCAGGGCCCCCGGCTCTTCGGCGTACCATGGCCTCCAGCCTCTCCTGCTCGTTGCGTTCAGAAACAGGGAAGAAGAGAGATTCTCTTACCGAGCCATCGCTACGGCGACGGATGCCGGGCGATGCACTCGGAGATGGCTGCGCCATGGTTACCGCATGCAGCAGCAGCGGCAGCGGCCTCGCCCCTCTTCGCGCTCGTCTGTTCGCTGTCTGCTGGTGGTCACCAGCCCTCGCTCGCCCGTCTGCCACTCAGTGATACAGCAGCTCTGTTCGCTCTCTCTCCTCCGTCTGCCGCTCCCTCTCTCCCTCTCTCCCTCTCTCCCTCTCTCCCCCACCTCGCAGTTCAATTCACTCCTCCCTCTCTCTCTCTATGTCGATCACCCACTCCCTCTCTAATGACTGAGTCTGTTTCTGAAGCACTTTAGTCAGACGGGAGGAGGCAAAATGCAGCCCGTCACCACCCCCCACCACATACATACACATGCATGAACACACACGTTTACACAGGGGACCATGCCTGCGCACACACAGATGGTGGGTGGATCAGAGATTGATACTGGTTGCATTTCTTTCATCCTTTTGCCTTCCTCTACCTCTTCCTCTGGACTGCATGCATGCTGCAGTGTGACAATAACCATTCCTAGAAAATAAAAATACACACTCGGCACTGGGGAGTGACTGGCAGACAAGATGAGTAAACCATGACTGGGTATAATTATTAATCTTACATCATGATCACAGTTTGAGGAAAACAATAAAAATCTTTCATGGATTTGGGCCTATATGAACTCACAGAGACATTCCTGTTGTGTATTAAATGTTATGGCGAGACAGCTGTTATTCATTCCTAATGATTTACATCCTTAATGTCTAAATGCTGGAGTCACGGTCAGGTCCTTGTTCTATTATCTGTGGGAAGGATTTTGCTCCAGATCACAGAGTGAGAGCCCATTCAGCACAATTTTAACTTATCACACATTGACACATCAAAATAAAATACTATAAATTGCTACATGCAACCTAATTCTGTTTTGCAACACTGTCCTTGAGCAAGAGAGAAACCTAAGCTACTGGGAAAACAGACAAAGACCCTGGATGCAAACCTCCCGCCCTCTGCTGTGAGCTGTGTGCTGCTGTTACTA